TTTCCTGAGCTTTAAAATCTAAAACTTTGTAATATAGTCCTGAAAAACGAGGGGGAACGTTGTGAGTTGCTGCTACGGCCGCGACTTTAAAATTGTGGATGCCACAGATTTGCGTCCTTTGTGAGGGCGGGGTGAAGTTTTGAAATATTCTTGTAACAGTGACATATCACACAAGTCTAGATCCAAAACATCGTTGCTCTAGCTCTTATAGTCTTTGAGCACTAGGCGCTAATAGGGACGAACGGACGGACAGACAGACAGGGCTCAATCGAGTCGGCTATTAATGCTGATAAAGAATATATATACTTTATGGGGTCGGAAACGATTCCTTCTGGACGTTAGACACATCCACTTTTACCACAAATCTAATATAGCCGAATACTAATTTTGAGTACTTCAAAAACTTCAACTGGAGTAACAACCAGATGAAAATAATAATACAATTTTGTGAAAAGCAGTAACATTTTCCAAAAAAGAGTATACCCAGGCTATATCTCAGGTGTCTGCAAAGGTAATAGAATTTTGTTCATCTCTATCAACTACTATGGTCTCCAAAGCAAACATGTAAAAATTTAATCAAAATCGTACGAGCCGTTTTGGAGCGGGCCAGTGAATTTAAATATACATTTTTTGATAAAATTTATTTATGGCTTGACTCGATTTAATAAACCAATTTTTCTCGGTGTTGACTAGACGTTAAATGCATAAAAACAGTTTTAAAATACGTTACGTTAACATAGACAACGATATTACACAGTTTCTCAACCAAACACACGCAACCGGAAGTGACACACATTTTTGCAACAGAGAAACTAAATTTATACTGCAAACGAAATGAAATACTCACCTTTTTAGACAAAATTCACACCCATATATTCTTCGAACGCAATAAAAATCTCTTTTTGTTTATTTTTGTATTGCAAATTTTCTATATTATACTGACAGCTACTACACAAATGCATACATTTGTTTCGTTATCAGCACGAAAGCTTCGTACTGTCATCAAACACGACTTACCATAATCAGATCAGTAGCATCTGCTTGCTGTTCAAGATACGGGGCGGTGCCCAAAACCAGAACGTGCCCACAACAGGTACACTTCCCATACACATGATATGTAAAAATATTGTTATATCTGAAATGAAAAACTATTGGCTTGTTTTTGTTGATGTGGCAAAAGTTCGACAAAAAGTAAACTACAAAAGTTTAATCTAATTAAATTATGAACTTTCATTTAGAGGTTTTTACATCTTTTAAACGTTCGATTACATGGGATAGTTTAGGTTTAAGTAGTGCTACTACCATGTGTTCAATAGTTATGATTGTCCTCAATATCTATATAACGGAAGACAAAAACAGATAAGAAACTTTGTTCAGCAAGTTAGTGGAAAAGTGGATCAGATCCCTTAGGGCATTGAAAAGATCGAACAGTTTAATAAGGAACGGTTATTAGAAGGGCAGGAGAAAGATATATTTATAGTTGGATGACCTTCTACAGAGTTTGCAATTAAAAAGAAAATGAAATAAAGTTTTGTCACTTGCAAATAAAGCAATGAAGGAAGAGCTCATGCTCAGCTAGTTCAGATTCCGAGTATATTATTTTGTTAAATAACTAAGTTTATAATTACAAAAAGTGTATTTGTAACCTATTATGTATTTGTAACCTAGCTTAACCTATATACAATTTTTGCTCGATTATAATGTAGTTTTATCGTCTAAGGTTCCAAATTTCATTGCGATATCTATTAAATAACGTTTGTTATTAATTCAGAGCGAATTCCTTGCCTCGCAATTTATTTTAGACTGCCTTGCTCATGCGCGGACTGGTTGACTCTTTTAATAACCAATTTGCCGCATTCAGGGGAAACTTGACGGATAATAGCGTTCGCCGGATCCGGGACCTGTGCGAACTTTTACCTGGTAATCGCACAATGTTGCGTAGTAGTTGCGGCAGCGACAGAAGGACCCTGAATCAAGGGGGAGGAGGGAGGGCCCTTTGCCATTAGCCCACTTAATGTAAGAGGCTCACGCACACAAAGCGGAGGGAGACGTCGAGAGAGGAAAAGAGGGAGAGCTGTGGCTTGTATTATGAAAAGCTCATCTAATTTCAATCAATTGTGTCAGTAGGGGGTGAACTTTTGGGTAAAAGGCAATGCAGCTTCCAGGAAAAGTTTTATTTGGAGCTAGTGGGGAAACCGAGCACTGTTGGCACGGATAACATTAAACTGTATCAAAACGAAAGTTAATAACTCCAGCAAGCAGGGAGGGATGAATAGGTTGAGCCAGAAAGAGCCACTATGCCCCACATGCAGCATCAGTGACCAAAAGCCAAGCAATTTCGATTCACCCGACATGGACTGCAAAGAAACTCGGGGCAATTTCTTTGCCATTATTACGCCCTGTACCCACTACCATCCCCAGAAACCGCTTTAAGCTGCCCTTGTGCTGCACTTTTTCCAACCAACGAACCACTTAATCATATCAGCATGTTAATTCCATGGGCGACCCCGCCAAGGGTAATAAAATTAAATCCTCGCAGCGCTTCAAAGCTCAAAGAACACCGTTCCATCCCTTTCTCAGTAAAAGTTCCAACAGTCGAAATCAATGGTAAGTCACCTTGAAGGCACCGGCACCCCCCCACTTGCTCCGACGGAATAAGGAAATACGTGAAATGCTCGTAACGTAAAAAAGCTGAATCTGGGAAAAGTCAAAGAGTGTATCAACAAGGAACATGAATGAATATTCCTGCCAGCGAACAGCGAATACTGCACACCCTGCCAGCTGGGGAGAACAGTTTGGGGATGTCTGGAATGCCGCGCTGAGGCCATTGTTTGTCAGCAATGGATTAAAAAGTACAACAGTTTGTTGGTAATCATAAACAAGTCAATTAATCAAAATGAAACGAGCAAAACAGTGTATTGATCTTTTCAACCTATACTTTTTTGTGATTTCCGGCTGTAGATGCGGAGTAAAAATTATGAAAGCGCGAATTTAAAAATTTTAAAACAGTTTTGGGGATTTTTTGCTGATCTACCCAACCAGATTTACCACCCAGTTTGTCGCCCTGCGATTGAATATACCCCATCGCTGTGAAGAGTATCAAGCAAGCCAGAACAGCTTATGCGCATATTAAAAATATTTTATTTATTTTCCATTTTTTTGTTCGGTTTACGGGAAACCGTCCAGGTAATCGATTTATGTGAAGCTATTTACAATTCTGATTTGCCCTGGCAAAGTGTTTGTTGTGTGGGTAATGCGATACGAGGCACACAAAACGAGAGCGGAAGCAAAGTTTGGCTCTGGCTAAGCATTTGCAACCATCGTTTTGGGTGTACAAAACCCACTCACGTCACCTGCATATGTTAGTTTTTTGAATAATTTAATTTTATAAGACCAGACTCCTGGAATATCACACTGTTGGTAATGTACTATTTCAAAATTTCGCCCAGCTCTTTCCACCTCCACAAAGAACGAAAATCTGTGGCATCCACAATTTCAAGGATTCGCCAAAACCGAAAAAGCAGAATCGCAGAGAATGCCTATATCTACCATATTGCAGAATCTAAATCATATCCGATTACTATTATAGTTAGAAGGAACAAATGAATTGCCAGCCAAGCGCTTACTCATTTTCTGTCTCTCTCTTGCACACTCTTCGTCGTGCAATGTGAGCACCCTCTGACGAGATAAAACGGCTGATGTTGGTGTGAGAATATAAAATAAAGAGACAGATATAAATTAAAATGGAAACAAATAAAACCCAATATATAAAAATCTCCCGATTCTGTACAAGATGGTAGTAAGAAAGCTCAACGCAGCTGACCCGTCTGGGATGAAACACATCGTCCAAAGCCTATTCCCCACTGTCGACTCAGATGTTAGCCCGAGTCGAACACCGTATCGCCACATCGGATGGAGGGACATAACAAGCCTCCCGAAAAACCCTCATCTTAATCCGAGATCATCTGGTAGCCATCATCGAGTACTACTTCAGAAACTGTATGCTATACACTACCAACGAGTGGTACCAGGTGACATGCTGCGCTCCCCAGGGCCGTCCTTGGGCCAACCTTATGGAACGTGCTGGATGACGCTATCCTCAAGCTTCAGCTACTAAGCTATCGAGCAAGACAGCCGATCTTGGTAAAGCATTTTCACGGATGATGCTGAGCACGAGGGGACCCAAACGAAGCCGCAGACTTCCTCTCTATCTGTGCAGAGGTGGCGAGGACTAAGTCCCGCAGGAATACAGCAAATTTTATACTCGATACTCAAAAGAGTATAGGGGCTTATTCGATTTGAAAGTGGATGTGTGTAACGCCCAGATGGAAGCGTTTCGACTCCATAAGGTAAATATATTCTTGTTTGATGCCTAGTTTTCAGAGACTATAAAAGCTCGAGACTTCTGTGATATCACACTGAATCCAGTTGGTTTCAAAATTTGGCCCACACCAAGGACGAAAATCTGGGGCATCTATATACGGTAAAGTATAGAGATATATAAGTTTCGTGTGGATTTTTGTATCACCAAGAAGGAAGCACTTTGTTTTAAGCATATTCATTCTTAGTACTCATCGTCGCGGGGAGGTGATTCCTTTAAAATGTATTGGGAAAGTTTCTAAATATAAATTGTATAAAAGTGTAAGTATTTTAAAATTTTAAAATCATAAAAAAAACATCTCTTCAGATTTGTAGCATTAGAAACAATAATTTGTACAAAAAAGAAAATACTGTTTTGACCTTTCAATATCAAAATTATATTATTTTCCCAGCTTACAAAAATGCATTCATATATGTATACAATTTATAATCAAATCTAAAACAATATCGTGTTGATGTTTTAATATCAAACTGAGATGCTCGAAGGTATCAATTGGAAGTGCTCGAAAATATAGCTGGAACATTTTCGAACATATCATATCGATATGCTGGTATCGGTCCAAAATATCATATCACACTCGTATCAATATTTTTTGGTAATGAACAGACATGGAACAGTGTACATATGTTCACTTTCTTTCAGTATATTCTTGTAAATACATTTAATCCAAAGGTTTAGCTTAAGCGTAAAGTATAAAGCTAGTTCGTTAGCACGTGCCCAACCAGTTTTGGCTTAGAAACTGATTTGTTCTGGCATCGGAGCTCTGCAGGGAGACGATGGCCTCCTACAGCCGGGATATCCCTTCGTTGGCATACAGCTGCTGAGATGGACTGTGACTGGGCACATTCCGAAGGGACATACTCTCTGGCTCCTTCGTCTCGCTCTCCTGCACCGCAGACTTCTTCGTGTGCTCATCGAAGTGCACCTTGAGCTCTGGTCTGATGCAGGAATCAGCTTCCGAGCTAGATCCCGTAGTTCTTGAGTCGACTGGCGGCATTTGGATGCGGCGGAGATCCGTGTTAATGGCATGCAGAGCATTAAAGCAACGCCTAAAGCTGGGTCGTTCCGATGGATCGGTGCGCCAGCACAACAAAAGCAAGGAATGCCTGTCAAGAGGAAGATCAGTTTTAGAAGCAGCCTGATGAGGATTAAAGATACCAATTACATTTTGTCGGGACAGATGGTGGGTTGGTGGAGACGTCCACCTTCCTTGACGTGGGCGAGCACCTCGAAGTTGTTCCTAGCCGCATACGGCTGCTGGCCCAGGGTGAGGATCTCCCAGCAGAGCACGCCGAAGGCCCACACATCCGACTGGGTGGTGAACACCCCATCCACAAGACTCTCCGGGGCCATCCAGCGAACCGGGAGCAGCCCCTCGCCCTCTTTGCGATAGTAGTCGCTCTTGTAGATATCGCGGGCCAAGCCGAAGTCGCCGATCTTCACCATACGCCGGTGCCCCGTCTCTGTTCCCTCAGAAACAAGGCAGTTGCGGCAGGCTAGATCCCGATGAACGAAGTGCATGTCCTCCAGATAGCTGCAGCCGTTGGCCACGTCAATGCACATGGCCAGCAATTCCGACAGCGACAGTCCCTGGACTACCTCCTTCAAGATTCAATGGGAAAGCAAAATTGGGTGAGCAAAAGCTGTGAGAAGAACTATGGCGTTACACCACCTGGGAATTTGGCCGAGCAGCCCTCAGGTATGAGAGCAAATCGCCCGCCTCCATATGTTCCATGATTAGAGAGATGGAATCAGTGTCAAAGCAGATGCCCACGAGGCAAACAATATTCTCGTGCTTAAAGTTGCTCATCAACTGCGCCTCCTGCAGAAGCTCCGCAAACTCGCTGGCACCCTTACGCAGGCTCTGTGTATTAGCAAGGGCTTAGAATGGTTTCTATATCTTAAGACTGTTGCCTAGTTTAATCACCTTGATAGCCACGCGCTGCGAATCCTTCTTGTCCTCGGAATGCAAGTCTCCCTCGTAGACCTCGCCGAAGGCACCGCTCCCGAGGAAGCGCCGCAGGGTCAGCTGACTCCGGCTAATGTGCGGCAGCAGCGCGATGTCCGCGTCGCTCAGCGTCGTGGAAAAGGCGCGGTTCCGGGCGGCCAGTAGCTGCTGCTGCGTATGCAATGTGGACAGGTTGCTCCAGATGCTTGGACGGCTCTGCTGTAGCAGCTTCTTGGCCCGCACTCGCCGCTTTTGCACTACTTGGATATAATGGTTTATAAATAAACAGCCAGTAAGACAATAAGACCTGTCAAAATAGCCTGACTGGGCTGCATCGTTCAGGAAGGCACGCAGGGCCATCTTAAATCTTTAAAGTCATATCTATCATCCTTCATAGATACATATGTACATATGTATGTACTTTAATATTTCAAGCTTTAAGAAAGAGTCGCCCCATAAACTAAGTACACTCATTACTACACTGGATCCTATTTCAGATCGATCTATGTGGAGTGTGTTCGTCCGTATTTCTTGTGTGTATTGTATTGTACAATTGCTGAGAATATGAGATCTGTAAAAACTACCTCGGGAACTACCTCATGTGTTGCCATGAAGGCGACATACCATTCAAAGAATCTGCTTGGATAGAAAAAGCAAGAGTCATACCCGCATAATGACTGCACCTAATAATAACCTAACCTAAGAATAATAGCATGACTGGGAAAATGTTACCTTTGCGGACCAGGAACAGGGCCAGTACACAGCTGGACACAATGGCCGCCGGGGCAATGATGGCCAGTACCAGTGAGCCGCGCTTCTCGGGCGTAACGAAAGGCTCCGACACCCGGTCGCTGTCCTCGCTGTAGGGCCCCCAGCCATGCTCCTGGCTGCGAGCGCGAACCCTGAACAGGAGTAGCCGGTTCGAGTGCAGACCTCGCACGATGCAGCTCAGTTCGGTAGTGTTGCAGTAGTCTAGCCACTGGTCCTCCACGGCCGCCGGCTCCTCGGCCCATGGCAGAAGGGCTAGCCGGCCCCCTCTGGCATTCTCCCGGCGCCTCCTTCGCCTGACCCTGGCCTGCAGCGCCTCGAGACTGTAGAGGGCAATTGGGTCGCCATTACCGCGCGCGGCACTCCACTTCACCCTGAAGATCTCCCCGGCAATGTGCTCAAGCTGTGGCCGGCCTGGCGCACTAGGTGCGTCCCCGAGTGTCTCGAACTCCTGACTCGGACCCCGGTAGATGGAGGCTCCTGGGGAGGACGCAAAGCCGAGGAGCAGCTGACAGTCATAGCGAGTACACGGCTGCAACGGTTTCACCTCCATCCAAGAGTGGTTTCCGGCTACTTCCCAGCGCAGGTGTTCCGCCTTTGAGCGACACTCGAGGGCCAGGGAACTCAGTGAGTCCGAGGTTCCTGCCCATGAGAGGGTCAATGAGTAGGGTCCCAGTTCAAGCAGCTTCAGTTCCGGTAATCTCACGTAGGTCCGAACGTGCAATACCGTACTGCTGTTGAACTTTGTGGGCGTGGCATGGGCCTGCACCCAAAGCCGGTAGCCGGACCCGGGCCGCAGCCCTCTCAACTGGTGCATCCCCGAAGACTCCACTCTGTGTTCCATTTCCACTTGCTCCGTACGGTTTCCAATGGAATCCTCCAGCCAGTGGATCGTGTAGTGGACGCTTTCGCTGCGGAGATGGAGAGGTGGTGCCCAACTGACCTCCACCTCGCTGGGACCCAGCACGCGAGCGCTGAAGTTCCTTGGGGCCGAGGGAGAGGCCGAGGCGGTGCGCACTTCCATGGAGGGCAGCGGGAGGGCGTCGAGGCCTAGGCGGGTTTGGTAGTAGCTACTCAATAAAGCTCTGAGCTGGTATCTGGTGTAGGGCTGTAGGCCTGTGATGTTGATGGTGTCCCCCGATCCGGTCTGCCACTGATGGAGTGCATCTTCGCGAGGGCCTCCTTCCAGCGAAGTGAAGTTCAGCTGGTACCTCAGACCAGGCACGGGCAGCGCGCAGTCTGGAGAGGCATGCAACTGGGTCAGGGTTAGGATGCACTGCACTTCGTCGCACTGGATGGCAGTAGAGTCTAGGGCAGCGGAGGCGGGCAGAAGCAGGCAGCGCTTGCTGGGATACGCCTGGTAGTTGTGGGCCTTGAGCAACCGCACCTCCTCCGGCTCCAGCTCAACGAGGTACTCAAGCTGATAACGCCTCCGACCGTAGGCGCGGATGCTGCCGTTTCGCAGGGCATAGAGGTAGCCCGAGTCCTGGGCCAGTTGTCCGCCGTCCTTCGTCAGCAATTGGAGCTGGCTACGCAGGCCTGTGACGGTGCAGAGCTGGCGGGCGACGTCGTAGACGCAAAGCTTGCCCTGGTGGTCCACCAAGTTTAGCGTCTCTGTCCCGGGCTCCAGACTGCCCTCGTACAGCCGGAAGAGGGAGGTGGAAGATTCGAGCGGAATAGGCGATCCGTCGGTAAGACTGCGGCCCCGCAGCGTGGCATTCTTGGTACCAACCTCGTGCTCAAGCCAGACAAGTGCCCGGCTGTGTGGCAGGGCCAATAAGTCCCTCAGCAGGTGGCCCCGCGGAGTGCTCCATAGTCGCTCGCCCTGCAGGATGCGCCCCTCAAAGCGGCACAAGTCCAGACGGTATATTGCAGCTACCTGCGCTGACGGCACCTCCTGGCCGGCCTCAAGTTCGGCCCAGTAGACGATGCGCTGAACCCAGTCGACGGTGAGGGCAAGAACCTCAGCACGCATCCTGGCGAGCTTTGCGGGTGTGGATCCCGGCACGTGCGTGAGCAGCTCCACATGCTCGTTGACCCAGAGGATCCTCTGCTCCCCCTCCATGATGGCCAGGTGCTCCACGGGACTGGCGGTATGTACCAGACGGCGCCGGAGCTGACTGTCTAGATCCAACTCGCCGATGAACTCTGTGTTAGCAAAGATAAAGCGGGGCACGGCCTGCACCTCAGGCGCCACGTGAAGGGCGTGGTTAGCGGCGCCAGCAGCTGCCCCTGTCGATGCCACATGCGCCTCCACCTGGAAGCGGTATGTTTGGTCCGGCTGCAGGTTCTCCACTCGAGCTTCAAGGCTGCTCTGGTTTAGCAGCAATTCCGCGTGGATCTCCGATCCCAACCAGCAGCTAATGCGGTACTCCAGAGCCTGCACCGGAGCTGGAGCCTGTTCGGGCGCATCCCAGCGGAGTAGGGCCCCGATGCTAACCGGCAGCAGAGGCGTAGCAATGCGCTCCACGAAAACGCGCAGGCGCCGGGGCTGAGTGGGAGCCGCGGCGGGCGTGCAGAGCTGAACGCGGGTGGTGGGGCCCATCCGCCAGGCTGTGCGAGGCGTGATGCTGATTTTCAGCTGGAGTTGCGCCTGCGGAAGGTGTGTTAGACGGGCGAAGGGAGTGGCCAGATCCAGAGTCTGCAGGCGCTGGCCATACTCGATGAGCAGTCGGTAGGAGATGCTGTGGTTGCCTCCACTTATCGCTGGCTGCCATCGCACGTGAAAATCATCCCAGTGGCCATCATCCAGGCGGACGCTGTCAGTGGGCACGGCCAAAGGTATGACCCCAGCATCGGGTGGTGGCGGGGGTGTTGGATCAATAAGCTGGAGCGAGGAGACGGGGGATTCTAGCCCCTGGGGCAGCAGCTCCATGGTGTCGTTAACGGCTGCTATTCTGGCGAGGACTGCTCGGCGACCGCCCCGCTCCAGCCATAGCAGAGCTCCGAGGGGTCGGACCAGTTGGAGGCTGTGGGGCAGGGCATCCCTGCCAGGCCAACTTTGCAACAGCTGAAGGGAATCCTGGGTGGTTTCCAATCCAAGAGGAGCTTGGTAGAGGCGCAACGCGGTAGGGCCTGATACCAGCCAATAGAGCTGTCCTTGCTCCAGATCGATACTGAACGAGACGATGCTACCCTCAAGGCCATTGACGTGGTAAAACTCCACCTCATTCACGTGCTGGGGGTGGCCCGGGGAAGAGCTGAGAGGCCGACGTGTCAGACGGGTAGCGGTGGCGTAGTAGAGATGGCCCTGACGGGGATCGATAGCCAGCTGGCGGGCCCCGAAGATGGGCAGCAGTTCCCGAGCCCCGCTCCAGGGATCCATGCGCACCACACAGTTTCGTGCCACATCTGACCAGTAGATTCGGCCGCCCCTCCAGTCGTACGTCACGGCCCCTACATGCAACACCTCATCTGGAACCAGGCACCTCAGCTGCGGCTGCTTCAGGTTGATGCAATGCATGACCCCAGACCCGGCGACATAGTAGCCCGCACTGGCGTTTATCATAGCCAGGGGTCCAGGCCGCGCTTCCAGCTGAGCGTCCTTCCGCTCCAGTTTTCCACCCAGTTCATTGGTCTCGTAAAGGGCCCCCTGAAGGGTGGCCCAGCTGAGGCGATGCGGCCCAAGGGGCCAGGTGCGAGCCACGTGGGGTGGGGTCCAGGCCCCGGGTTCACCGGCCGAGCTCATGGCTCGCACCCGGAAGTGGTAAAGATTGTCCGGCTGCAGGCGCTCGAGTCCGAAGTGGGGGCTACGGATGTTACGGATGCTGAACGCGCTCTGGCTTGCCACGTCCAGGACCTCTAGCTCGTAACTCAAGTCCAAAGCGGCGGCGGCGGGTGACTGGTAATGATTCCTGGCCGGCTGCTTCCATGATATGTGTGCTGCCTGTGCCCCCAACACGGCGCTGAGCTGGCGAGGCACCCCTGAGGGATGAGCCGAAGGATAGCGCTCTGCGGTGAGAAGGATTAGGCCCCAGCAGTCAGGGAAGTGACGCAGCGGCCAGGTGTCCAGCCCTCTGTGGTTAAGCTGATCTACCAGCAACAATTGTATCTGGCTGGCACCAGCTAGGAGCAGGGAGCGGCCCTGGAGAGCGAAAGTCCGCCATGAGTTGTCGGGCAGGACGATCAGAGGCCTTTTGTAATTTCCATCGTAGCTGATTTCCAGAATCTTCCCCTCGTGCGCCACCAGTAAGTAGAGTAGCCAGTGCAGCGGGTCCAGGGTGAACCATCCAGGCTGCCTGATCCTGGCAATGCGGATTCGTTCCTTAGTGGTCAAATCAAGGCGCCAAACGCTCTCGGCATCGGTCCAAAAAAGCCAACCGTTCAAGGGGTCAACCTCCAATTGCTGGACAGGGTCCAGAGCCTCGGACAACACAGCAATGTCTATGCTCTCCAGATCCATCTTGAGCAGGGAAAATTTGAGATTCGGCGTCTCCACAGCTAGGTAGAGACGTCTTCGGAGCCAATCCAGGCTAAGCTTTCGGGGAATCCATTTACCGGTAATGTTGCTTCGTCCATCTAGCTCCACTCTGCTAATGCCAGAAGTGGGTTGGCCCTGCTCCAGTCTCAGGCTGTTGAAAGGGAGGATCAAGAAGGGCTACTCGTATCTATTGTTCTTTGCAGATTTTTTGATGACTGCCCACCTGCGCATCTCTCCCAGAACGTCCACAAACCACAGCCGTTGCTCCCTCTGCTCCCAGGTCATATCACTAATTGGTTGATCAGACTGAAGGACGAGTCGTGTCTCCCCGCCCGGCGCCAAGGCCTGCCATACGATGCTCCGATGCCCGGCAACAAGCGCACTCGGGTCCTGATCCTTATCCTGATCCTTGTGCAATTGCGGAGCCTGAGCGGTATGGGTCTCGACACTGGCAGATGCCGCTGGGCCCTCGCCCTGCTTGTTGATCATCGTCACCTCCAGCCTGTACTTGGTACGGGCCTGCAGCTGAGAAAAGATAAAGTTTCCCCGCTGCACCGTCACCAGCTGGAAAAAGAGTCGCAAACTGTAATTTTCCTCATGGAGGGTCAATTATGGGATTGATTACCTGCTCGATGGTTCGATTATCCCCAGGACTGCTTAGGCGAAGGCGGTAGCCCTCGACGGGGCCGTTGGTGAATCTGCCCGGATGCCAGTGCACGGCCACATGGCTTTCGTCGAGTGCCAGCACCTCCTCGATAACCGGTGCCGATATGGGTGCCCCCTCAGGAGGCGTCTGGTAGGCGGGTGTAGCCGGCGAGTAAAGCACATCGTCGCTGCTTTCGCCAAAGGGAAGCTCGAAGCGGAACTGCATGATGAATGGATGTAATTATTTACTTATTAGCTTATTATTAGCTTTTTTCCAAGAAAAATTAATTTTAATAGACGAAATGTAAGTTATGGCCTCTGTGTGAATACATTGCCTGAATATACACAGCATAAAGATATAGATATACCTAAAAGAAGCTGCAAAATTGATTACTTTTGAACTATGCGAGGTATGGATCTAAAATTTGATATACACAGTCAGAAAAGTGTAACAATCGATCATTTCTGCTGCAGCGCTGCTCCCAGCTCCAGTGGAAAGCAAAGCTGGCGCATATATGTATCTCTCTCGCTCTCACTGCATGTTATTTTTTCCATAAAGCTTTCTCTTGATCTATCGACTCCGTTATTGATGCTGATCAAGAATCAAATACCAAAAAAATACGCAAAGCATTCCACGCGCTTACTCATCCCCCCTCTCTCTCTCGCTCAGACACTCTTCCTCTTCCTTCCTCGTGCAGTGTGCGCCCTCTGGCGGAGGGGACCGAGATGGCAACATACACACTGACTGAGTATCGAGTATAAATGTAGATCCACGGTATTTTAATGTTTCATCTCTAAAATCGATGTTTCGATAACCAAATCGGATTGCGACAGCTGTTAGCACGAAAACGTAAAGTGTTGTTGCTTTGACCAATTAGTTCAGAGCAAAATTTAAGGTTAGGAAAACCAAAATTTATTTGTAAGAAGGGCAAAAGCAAAATTGTCCTAGTAATAGTGTCAATCAAATGTTAATACATCAATAAGTCATCTATTTCTTTCTTTTTGCTATCAATATTCAGTTATTCAGTTTGTTGTCAGACATTGTCGTTTTGCCTTAACGAGAGGAACAAGGATTTGCCCATTCAAAAGTACATTTCGAATTCGTATTTCATCACTTCAGAGACAAAACAGTCTTCTTACTTACTCTGTACTGTGTGTAAGGCATCAGGGGCTCAAGGATCTCGCAGACGTAGTACTCGTCGCAATCGTAGTCTGCCAAATTAAACCATTTCTCCTCTTTCTTCTCCTCTTTATTCTCCTCATTATGGAGGTCCGCGTACTGGTACTGGATGTTGAAGGGTCGACTGGACAGGTAATGCTCCGGGAAGTGCATGGCCCACTTGATGGTCAAGGGCGTGTCCTGTCGATCCTGACTGGGGGCCTGCACGAACTGCGGTTGCGTCCTCTGCACGGGCTGAGTCATGGCCAGGCGTTGTAGGCGCCAGTAATTGCGCTGGGCCATCTCGCAGGACCCGATGCAGGGCATGTCATGGGAAAAGAACTGTAGCGAAGACTGGCAAACCAGAGGGAAACGGTGGTGATCAGCTGGTCGAAAATCGTTAGGGATGTATGAGATGAGCTCGCACTTACACAAGCTTCTTGGCAGGGCTCCAGCTCCTTGAGGGCTCTGTACCATTGAGCACATCCCTTGGTGCACTGCGGATTTGAATGGATTAGAATTGTTTAAAAATACTTCATCTGAAAGCGGAGGAGGAGCCTTGAACTGCGCAGTTAATGTCAGTCAGTCAGCGTAGTCAGGCACATTTTGAATAAAAAGGAGTCCCGTAGAGGCCATTCCGGTATTTGGTTCTGGCATTGGTCATCTCTCCGTCCCGATGAATGCCTAAATCTCAGTGCTATTGAAAACGACATGCGTGTTGCTATGAAAAAGAAATCCCTGGTCTGGCAATTGAAGCCGCGGACTCTGCTGTCCGGAGGGATGTTGAGGCACCTTCTACCCCTCCATCAATTCTTACTGCTGTTGACCCTATAAAATCTCCTGTCGTTTCTCGTCTATTCTTCAGGTTTGTTAGCTCTATACGAAATTCTTCACACTTTCCCTCATCTTTACCCTTATGCTGATAACGATTGCGATACTGCTGACCTACTCGCTTCATTTTTGCAACTTTGCAACTCTGTCACTTCTAAAATCTTTCCCTCTGTTCTCGCTTCTTCTAGCGATTTTCGTGCCATGCACTTATATTTTTTCCCTTGAAATAGTTCAAGTTGCATCTATCCCACCTTCATTGATTTTAATAGCCTATTAACCAATTTAGAATCGTGTAAATTTTATTTTTCCTTGAACCAGATATGGTTCCCGGTGGTGTTCTCCAACTGTGTGCTGATTCTGTCGAGCTCGCCGATTTTCCCACCGTCTGGAAAGAATCTATCATAATTCCCACTTATAAAAAGGGGCATAGTCTCATGTTTCGAGTTACCGTTGTATTTCAAATTTATCTGCCAATCCTAAACTCAGCAGAATCTTGTAAAACATCGCTCAGTTTCTTCTAACCTCTTTGAACTTTCCACCTTCGTACTTGACGGACTTGCACTACAGTGTCAGCCTGAAGTCGTTTATATAGATTTTATAAACGCTTTTGGCTAAATTAATCACAATCTTCCCATCCACAAACTATCTTTTCTTGGGGTTTCCGACTAAGCTTCTTCTCCGGACTAAGGCTTACCTCTGCAATCGTTCTCAGCGTGTCTGCTTCAACTCTCTCTTTCTAGGAAGCCTTCTTGGTCCCTTGTTATTCAACCTGTTAATCAATTATCTTCCCCAAGTCTTAACTCATTCCCGAGTCCTAATGTATGCTAATTATTTCATCTATAGTGTTCCCGTGTCCCCGTTATTTCTTCAACCGGATCTTGATCCTCTAAATAATTGATGTTTATTTAACGTTCTTCCACTTAACATTTAAAAATATAACATCATGACCTTCCTTCGCAGTAAGCTTCAGAACTAGGCGTCAAACATATTTATATATATTATATATGTATATAATAAAATCCTTCACTCTAAGAGTACCAGACATCCAAAATATTGCCCTTATATGTGTACTTTCCGGGGACGGGATTGCTTCCTTCTCACTTAGAATTCGTCTCCGACTGAAATCGAGCACTAAAATAAAAACTCAGTCAAATCGAAAAATACATTCCCTTTCGCGGTTAACAAGTATCTCGCCCTCCTTTTAAGCCTGGAGATGGTTCAAATTACTGCTGCTCATTTTGCATTGGGGCCTGCTTTTAAGATTCCTTTCATTTAATTTGGTCTGATGGCTATCAAATGTCGTTGGGCACCCTCGTTCCTCGCTCCACTTACGCGTGTTTTGTAGCACTTCTCGCTGCTGTCCGCCTTTTCGCACTTGATTCCGAACTCGTCCAGAAATAAATCCTCCTGGAAAAGTTACAAAACGAAATGAAAATAACCCAAACCAATTAGTAAAGTAAATAACATTGTGGGTCATGGGAACGGAAGTGGCTGCTGCTTTGCATGGGAAAAGGTAAATACACAAGGACTACAACAGCAAGAAATCGAATATGAACACTGTCACAGTGTCAGTAACCAGCGTTAAAAAGACAATTCATTTTATTTTGATTTTTTGTTTACCTGGTTCTCGTGGAATACAAGTGTATATTGTTTCCCTTTAAATGTAAATACAATTGTGCATCCGTGTACATGTTGTATACATTCAAAAGACCGTTTTGCTCATCCATACATACATATATGGTATAGCAGCAGTGTCCATGGACATGTCGTTCTGTCTGCAATGCCATTTATTATCGACTAATTGTCAAGGGGTATAGTAAGTTCCCGAGTCGCAGTCAGAATATCGACTTTTCTGTCTTATTATTTCCGAGAATAAGTTCAGCTAAATAAGCTCTAGAGCAAGAAAAACAGGTTGGGCATGTGAGCCAGGATTTTATGAAGATGGAAGACAAATTTCATGCCTCAGATTTAAGCATAAAGGTTCGAAGGGGGGCTGGTTGATCGATCAACCCAAATTAATTTGCATAAACTACATGTAAGCCGAGGCGTCTCAGCCCAGACCGCCTTCAATCTTTGGGTTCATCACTGGGCTGCGATCGTGGGTGAAGCTCAAGGCCTAGCTAATGTGGGTCGTGGCACTAGGGAGACAGAGATGCTCTGAGGACTGACTGAGAGAGGACTAAGCCTCCATATAGGTAACGGGAGAAGATCAACTGAAAATGACAACTGCCACCGATCAACGGGTGACGATCGATTGCGTTTTTCCCTGTCCCTGAAAACCAGTAGAGGTAGGTTTGATGACAGAGTTTTCTTCGCTGTTGCATAGTGTATGTTAATTAGGGATTTCCCTTAAAGCAAACTAATTGCTTCGCGCATTTCTCCACACACTCGGAATATTTCTCAAGTGCTTGTGCTTTAATTTTTATTTTCTTCTACGCAGTATTTTATTAATTTAGCTTGATTAGTTTTTTCACAAACAGAAATAGCTATTGAGAGCTGAGGCTCCCCAACTCACGATGGCAATGGGACAAGGAGAATGAGAACGAGAACGAGAGCGAGAACATGACAGAGATGGGGTGGGCAAGCTCTACGACTAATTGGCGTTGGGGGTTTTCATGTCGTCATTGCTCATCTTTTGTTGTACAATTTCTATTACATTAACTCGGAAACTCATGGACTGGACCGAGCCCCACACAGCACTCGGACTAGGTTGGTGTGCTATTGACACCATTGTGTTCGTGTTGCTCTTGCTGCCTCGCCAGGCTCCGTAAAGCCAGCGCAGGAATGCGAATATAAGAATATATGCCAAACCATTTTTATACACACACAAATTGGCTAAGCATTTTGCACACTCTCGATCTGCGGGAGGCAAAACATCTCAGCGAAATCTCTTTTGTGTGCACAGCTCTTCTGTGTAAACCGAATTCCAGGTCCACAATCTTTAGTTCGGCCTGCTCCAGTTTCAAGCGAGGAATGGCAAGCAGAAATTCTTACAGGGACTCAATTAGCAATCAGTGGACTGGACAGTGAAGGCAGGCCGAAAGATGGTGAAAGATATAGTAGCCAACAGTTTTTTTATGAATTATAGTTGCATTTATTAGCCGGTACTCAAAGAATATAGGGGTTTATTCGATTTGTAGCGGAACTGGATGTGTGTAACACCCAGAAGAATGCATTTCCGACCCCATAAAGTATATATATTCTTAATCAGCATCAATAGCCGAGTCGATATAGCCATGTCTGTCTATCCGTTTGTCCATCAGTCCGTCCTGATCTACAGTATAGTATAGAATATTATAGTTAAGTAGTTTCAGCTCTGCTCAATGCTTCATTTTCCACTCATTCGAAATACCCCCTTTATCGAATATCTGATAATAATACATAAGAGTAGCCGGTGAGTTGCCACAAAAGTGAACCGTGGAACAAGCAAAGAGAAGGATTAAATGTAAAAAACTACAATAACTACAACTATATTTGAAAAACAATCTCTGACAATCCTTTCTTTCAGTCTGCCCCTTGCTGTCCAGAGCTGTCCATTTAAAGCAATCACTGAACACGATGGTTCATCATTAATTTTAATTGAACCAAACTACATTGATGGCCTGGATAGGATTGGATTACAGAAGCGTTTCGCTAATGAATGAGCTGTAACCGAACCACTGATTAAAATGTATCTTCACTCCTATTACACACTCTCAGGAGCATAGTACTCTAAATGCCATCTAAATAGATTTATAAATTTATGCACATGTTAACTACACAAAGAGTATAGGGATATAGTAGTTTTGTAGTGGAGTGGATGTGTGTAACACTCAGAAGCGGTTCGGTCCCTTTTAGGTATAGAAATTCCTGTTTTTATTTAAGGTAATATCATAAAAACTAGCATGTACATATATGGTAATCGTTGGACCTTATGGAAATAATTTTACTGATCAAATTTTAAAAATGATCGATCAACTATTATTTAATATCTTTACTCATAATAGATTTTATTTATGTATGTATGACATTAATCTGATCCAGGTGGACATAAAATGGGAAAATAATGTTAGATATTTTGGGGTCATATCATATAACAAAAAAAAAAAATATTTTAATTCGTGTCTTGTAACCATTAATAAATAGAAATTCTCGCTTCAAATTAGAAAATAAATTTTAAATTTTTCAATCCAAAGTATATTATGGTGCACCGGTTTGGGCTGATATTGCAAATTTCAATATTAATATAAATCCAAGTTATACAGAACAAAATCTTAAAAATTATATATAACCTACACAATCACAATTTAATGCTAACGTTGAACTAGCCTCAATGAGAATGGCTAATTATATACTCAATCTATCCACACTTACAAAATATTTGATTATTTCTCATTAGTTTGTTAGTTTTTTTTGTTTTTTTAGTTGTCCAGTTTTTGGTATAACTTCTAAGTAATAGTGCTTTAAGGGGTATGGGGCTTATGGGGTTGTAAGGGGGTTTGGTATATATTTATTTTTCCCTTCATCATTATGTTTCTTAAAAATCAACTTCTTTATACTACTGCACACCACTATACTATGTCTTAGTAGAAAAGGTCGAAGGCCTGTACTCTTATAAATTCATGTAAGTCACCCACGCTTGTGTAAATTAAATCTATCTCAGATAAAGTGTTCCTTATAAATAAATAAATGAAATAAATATGTACGTGCGTTGGTTACCTGACCCATGACAACGGGTCTGCTATTTAAAAAATAACCAACAAATAGAGGCATTAAATTAAATATGAAATGTCGCAGCAGAAAAGCTCCATGTGACGTTAGTTTCGCAGAGCAAGTTTCACGACCGACGCGTCGCTGCAGTTCTGCGACCCATTCAAATGGTCCCACACATCTGTATATATGTATGTATATACGTATGTACTCGTACGAGAATGTACGGAGACAGGCACGAATATGCAAATGGCAATTAAGCCGAGCGTCGGTAACCCAAATAATGATAAAGATTATATTTTGATACGGAGCCAAGTTGCTGTAAGCTGTAAGTTCTAGACCAAAATAAACCCGAGGGTTCGCGCACACTCCAGCTAAAGGAGGAGTTGAGCTCCAGAAGCTCTCAGAATCTAGAGCTCAGCTGTTTTAAGCCAGCATCAGCTGGCCTGGGTGCGCATTCCGCACACTATCGGCTGAGCTGAAAGTGCGTCTGCTTCTACTTAACCTTTCTCTGAGCTTTTAAAATATCTGAAGGAAATTATGTTATTCAATATTTCGTTATTAAGGCAGTTGTATGATATTCTAGTGGTTCGGTTTTCAACAAATTTTGTGGGCTATGCACTAACATGGGACGACAAATGTGATTTCGATGGTTTGATTATCTTCAGAAACAAACATTTGTGTGTAGAAGAGCTTGTTAATATAAGGACATAACCAAAAACGATTTAAAAATTCATAAAAGAAAAGTATATGCTGGTCAGATATAAATTTTGAAAAGATCTTTAGCTCTGTTCCGACTCCTATTTGAACTATAGTGTGCGCCAGGCCATAGCAATGATTAGCTAGACGATCTTCAATTATCACATATGTACGTACATATGTATATATTAATTAACCGTTACAGTATTTGTCCAGCCTCTCTGCGTGTGTGTAAACGATTAACTTTAACAATCAGCAAGCTAGATTGGTGTATGCCGGATAAAAGAATGAAAGCGCAACTGAGTTTTGATACCCGATACTCAAAGAGTATAGGGGTATATTAGATTTCTGTTGAAAGTAGATGTTTGAGACTCGTTTTTTTCAGAATTTTGTAACGCTCCCTTCCACAATTTTAAAGATACGATAAACCGAAGAAACAGAATCATAAGGAAAGACCCTATCTACCAGATTGCAAGAATCCGGCTTAGATCGTATCATTTTTATAGCCAGAAGGAACAAATAAAATTGCGCGTATTCCTTTTCTCTTACACACTCTTCCTCGTGCAGTATGCCCCCTCTGTCGAGATAGCAACACACGTACGGACTGAGTATCGGGTAAAATGTAGAGCCGCGGGCCTAGCCGCGTGTGTTACAACGCTCCCGTTCGTTTTTGTTTGCATTTTGTGCGGGTACTACAATTACTTACAAGTATAAGCATATGTATGTGTGTCTCTGATGATGAATACAATATTTTGACGACACTGGAGAGCTTAACTCATCGAATCTGTCGCACAGCTGCTCAGGTTTTGTGCTGATTTAATGTACTAGCTTTAAATCGAATTTTAGGCGCTGCGCACATATTGTACTTAAGTGTAGTTTTAATTTCCATTCCTGATTTATGCAGGAATTTAGCGAGTGACGACAGCCCTAGGCAGTTACTCACCTCCACAATACAGCGCTGCACACACTCACGTGTGACGCGCTCCAGGACCACACGCTCATCGATTCCATCCTCTGGTAACTCTGGCAGCGCCGCCGTTGGCTTGTGTGCTGCCATTGGTTCTGGGACCGGTCGTGATATGCTGCTGATGGCAATGCCCTCCACAATGCTGGGGGGATCGGCTGTCGCGTGCTTGTGCCAAATGGCCACTTTCTCCACCACGTCACTGTCCAGCTTTGGCAACAGTCCCAGGCGGTCCTTGAACTCGTCTGGCAGGCCTGAGTAGTTGTGGTGCCGGCCATCTTGGGAGCGACACCCATCGCAGCAGATCGACAGCACGATCAACAGTAGGAGATTGATAATCAGAATCGTGGATATGCCCCCATGTCCGTCCTGGCCGCTGGCCAACTGGCGACCCAGCCGCGCCAGCTGCTGGCGCAGATCGAACTTGCTGCTCTGATGCTGGACGCTATGCTTTCTGTGGCATGTCGTCGATGTCGGGGTCGACTGCTGGTTGATGTGGGTGGTTGACGTCTTGGTGTTCACGTTCACAGCAATTTTGACATTGAAGCTGATGTTGAAACGTTTCCCCATCGGTTGACTAGGAGTCTTCTTCTGCTGCGAATGCTGCGACTGCTGCTGTGCCTGGTCTACATTCTGATGCCAAAACATAGTCACTGATGTGGCACCGTGTGACCTTCACCTCAGGTTTGCTAGCTTTGTTTTGCTAGGCTGAGTGCTTGCTAATGTGCTTTTGTGGGTCAGGTTCTATTTTCTAGTCGTTCGCGCTTTTACTGTTGTTCTTGTTGTTGTTGTTGTTGCTTCTCGCCAACTGGTATTCGCCGAAAACCGAAACTGAGTGGCACACAAATAAGACAAAAGAGAAAGAGAAAGAGAAAGAGAGAAACAACATTAAAAATCAAATCTCAAAGTCAAAACCCGAATTCAATGGGCATGTAAAGTGCATTAGCTAATTTCCATTTTATGCAAATTAAAAGATTAAAAAACGCGCAAGTCTCCAAGCTCAGCGCACCGCATCGATTGATACCGAATTTTTTCTGTACATTCTTCCTAAATTTCTAACTAGGACCAAGTCTTCAACCGTGAATATTTTATTACGCTTTTCCTTAATATATACAATATACATACACTACTGGCCAAAAAAATAAGTACATCGGTGTCGTGCTAGTTTGTTATGGAATCGCTCGAATGTTTGGCCAGCCCTTATTTATGATTTTAAGGTTTATGATAAACATTTTTATAGTCTATTGTAGGTTAGAAAACTAAAAGTAAATTTGATTTTTTAATTATGTTTTTTAGAAAAGTTTTATAGGACGTGAAAGAAAGCTCATAAGCGTGTACTTATTATTTTGGCCAGTAATGTATGTATATGTCGAACGTCGAGGTCGAAAGTATTTAAAGGATATTTAAGTCAATTAAGATGCGATTGATTTTCTTAAATTTATTTTAATTAATAGATAGGTAAGTCCGACTTTGTGGAAGAACTTGTTCAAATATCATTTTTCCAATAGAAAATTACAATAAAAGGAAATATGGTGTTCAAATCAAACATTATTTTATTTATGATTATTTATCGCCGGTTGCGCAGTCGCCGCCGCATTAATCTGCTGACGCGGCTCACGCAGGGGTGTTGCGTTACGCAAGGCCCGTGTCCCAGCATTCTTCAACCCCGAGCTGTTGTTGGACTGCCTGGACATTGCCCGCAAGTACTTTTGCCGACGATGCGCCTCTTGAGAGTTCTGTTACAAGAGGAGGCCCATGTTGCACTTGGTCCACTTGAAGATGTTTATGCTAGATCAGAAACCAAATGCAGATGGCAAAGAACCCGGCTGGATCTGGTAGCTTATACGTACTCTTGTTTTGTTGTATACTTAAAGCTTATTAAAAATGTTGGATCACTCTGTGAAAATGTCCATATCAAGAATACACGAGCTCACAAAACTAGTCCTAGAAATCTACATTTCAACAGCTTCGTTTCTGTATTGCAAAACGGTACAATAAGAGGGAGTTTCGACCCCAAGGGAAGTGGCAGTGGCACCATCGCTCCTATGAAATCGAATACAATATACACATCTAATACGTTGTGCCGTTACGTTAATTTCCTACGACAAAATGTTAAAAAATAATAATGAAATAAAAATGAATCCATTCGAATAGTAAGTGGATATCCACCCCTATATTAACCACAAAAAAAACAATAGTCGAACGTACGATTGAAAAGGAATAAGCCAAAATATGGTGGTTTTTGATGTTATGGTTATAAAATCTCTGCGAATCGGGTAGAACTATCTTTACATATTTGTTACATATATTGAAATACAAAAATAAACACTTTCCCTATTTTTTATTAAAAATCCGCGGAGACATCTGACGTAAGTTACTGGCGTTACGTTACCCAATTTCGAGGTAATAAAAGTCTAAAAATATACCGTTTGCCGAGGTTTGACCAGCTTTCTGAGATTTTTTTAGATAATTCAATATGTTAAAGGGACTTTAAGGAAAAACTTTTATCAAGAACTCAGTTTTTAATAGAAGGTACAAAATAGTAAAGGAAAACATGACTATAAAAATACCGAAAAAGTTTTGGCGGAAATTCCATAATAGGGTCGTAAGTTTAGTTTCATTCGAGTGATTTATCTATGTATGAAATAACACACAATAAATCTTATAATATTGTAAGCTAACAATCGATAGCAATCAGCAATGTTCAACTGAAATTATGTTGAATATAATATGAAGTTATTAAATTGAATCATTTGAATTATATTCAATAAGTAGCATTAGCTTATGGGGGTTTTTTTCGCCAATCATTTTGGAATTGCTTTAAATCCTCCTACTTTATGTGTTCATATGTATGGAAACATTTTGCATAGCCAAACTCGTTGTGCGGTAGAACATGACAAAATAGATATACCCTTTCCAATAGGCAGAAGAGACGAAATGAAATCATTTCATTAGCGGCAGCTCCAAGGTTCAACGAACGCTTTCCGAGGGCGAATTTGTGCAAGTGCAAGCCGATCAATATTCCAACGTATTACTAACGATTCGCATCCCGGTTTCGGAACCTCCCCAGAACATTATCATGGCATATCAAGCGACAAGTCTCAATTAACCCGGGCTAATGCATAGTCAATAAGTCACACGCCCTCTCAAAGCATCAAAGGGAAGGGCAATAACAAATTTATCCTCATTGATATGCAAACAGATTGAGTGGAGAGGAGTGGAGTGGAGTCTGCTCTTCAGACGAAAATCAGCCACTGTTTGAAACTTCACAGAAAATAATAGTTAATTGCACTTTAATTTCATATTCACCAGAAAAACAACAGCGCTCATAAAATGGTAAATAAATCGTATCGGCAAACACTCTCGCACACGGCGCACAACAAAAAAAAAACGGGAGACAAAAAGGCGAAAATAAATTGAAAATAAATTGAATAAACCGCTAGAAACATTGAAAATATGAAAGATCACAGGAAATTAATTGCATAAAAGCTATTCGGAAAATGCACGCAAATTCCGTTCAGCGATTTTACATTAATTACTGTAATCACTGCTGTATCAGGCCAAATTTTATTTTGAATCTTTGTTTCTGCCATACGACCGCCGACCGGCCGGGAGTCAAATTTTCACAATGTCACACAGCACATGCGTCCTACCCCACATTTTGCTCAGCCCGCGGTGGAAGCTGTTCAGCGCAGTTGTCGCAGTTTAATTCAATTTATTGTTGATTTGAGCAGCTTAATTGCATTTTATTGCTGCATCTATTTTCCCCAACTTAGCAGCAACTTCAAACTAGGGACAGGCAGGGCAGAGAGGGCCCCACTTACTAGGCGAGGCGTCAGCGCGCAGATGGTGATGACTCACGGTACTTCTCAGTGGCGCGATCGGAACACAACTGTTTGACATGACGAGCAACATGTTTTAACCAGCCCAATCCACAGCAACACATAACCCCAGCCCCAAGCCCGAGAACAACTCGCCGTCGCGCTGTTCAACCGAAGCAAGCCGCCCGACGGGCCGACCCGATCCGAGCCGCCCGCCGATCTTCTTCGCTTGTTCGCGGTGACGAAGAAACGATCGCGTCACGGTCAAGGCAACCCCTAAGCTTAAAAAACTGAACTTTGACAGAGATCTCTTCAGTTATTTTGCACCAGCACCATATAGAACGCCTAAAGAAATAATTAACGGAGATGCAACAGAAAATTCTATATTTTTTGACTCGAGAGGATTGCTAGATTCCGTAGGTGGAATAGGATCTCAGGGGGTTTTATTTTTCATATCTTTCTTGTGGAATTCAAGCGCAACAATGGGAAAAATGAGAGCAACCGATTGCTTGTATTTTGTTTATTTCATTTCATTCATTGTGGATCCGAGAAGAATAGGATAGTATTGGGTTACACCAAAAACTACTATAACATTTTGTCACTCGCCGCTTTTGATTTTTAAACAACAAAAATACGAAGTTTTTGCTCGCATATGGTATTTTTGTTGCGATTTTATCTGACTGGTTTCGCTGGTTTCATCTGATTGAGACTAAAGCCATTCTGCAATTGGCAAGTGTGATACATTTTTTAGGTGTTTTAAAGAAACTCATTGGGTAGGACAAGGATTTCCTTCACTAGGCAATCAGTCTGTAGTCCAGATCTTCAGCCAGATGTGTTCAAAATTTTTCTCCGTTTATGTATATACATTTATCTATCTATAATCATAAGATTTATGTGGCCTATCCAATATATTTTATTCATGGAGAACGTTCCATAAGTGGACGCTCTGCGTACGATCGGCCTGACACCGGCAGATAGCCAGAGAAAACCTGCCTTCTCTCACAAAAAGTGGCTGCGCATCTTATATGTATTTAGCGAGGAGCATAGGAACTGGACCATGGAAGATTGTAAGAAGTTAATTGGGTCAGATATACCAAAATAAACCGTTTTAAGTCTGATCGAAATGAAAACTACTGAAAACAGCTCATGTGGAAAAATCATCAGGTCAAGGAAACAATAAAGCATGGACGAGGAAGCCTGACGGTGTAGGGCTGCTACACTTGGTGGAACGTTCTCCAATTGGTTAAAATCGAAGAATATTATCTTAGTATTTAGGAACCCATTTTGTCAAATTTTATAGACAAATGTGTCCAAATGTGTTCCCCACATCCGAGATCACTTTATAGCAAGACGGTAGCCCGACGCACAAGGCTAAATTCGTGAAAAGCCGTCCCAATAACTCGAGTTTTCACTTAATTCAGTGGCCTGCTCAATAGCCCAGATCTCCATTGAAAATCGATGGGCTATGTTTAGGATCATTGGAAAAGTACGAGTCTGCACCAAAGGGATTGGGTGAGTCTTTGGGAGCGCGTGAAGTCGGAGTGGCACATGATACCTGGCCAGCACCTACTACATTTAGTCGATAGTATGCCAATACTTATTCGGAATATGATAAAAGCTAAGGTCCTTTGGAACAAATATTTTTGAAAAATTACTAAAGTAAACAAATTTGAAACGTGCAAAAGTGGATACATGCTCATTTTTTGAACAAATTAAAATCTCTTAAGGAAAAGGATCTCTTTGAATTGAAATTATTGTCTTTTTTCATTTTCACTAAATTAAAAAATCTTAAAAAAAAAATCACAAGGATTGATTCATTTTTAAAGATTTTACAGGCGCTTAAAGTGTATCCACATGTGCTCGCCACTGTCCATACGTAAGCGGATCCGATGAGAGAGGGAAACCCATACAGAAGGATCACGACCGCTAGTTATGTTCCGATGTTAATCTTGCAATCCGTTTATCCACTTACTACATAATTAATTATTTGATTCCAATTGTTAAATATCTGATCTTTTTCTACATTTCCGCTTGCAATTCGTTTGTTCTTTTTGCTCATTAAAGGGGAAGTATTAATACAACTTTTTTTTGTTCCAGCACTTATAGTCTCTGGGATCTAGGCACTCATCGGGATGGACATAAGAATTTTGTTTATTTAAATTGTATGCACTTTTGGGTGGAATAATTCAGTAAAATTCATTGTTTAATACATAAACTGTTTAAAAAAAGAAATGCGTGTTTCAAACAATATATTTTAGGCACCTTTGACTTCTGAATATGTAAATAGGTAAATTATGCTTAAAAGCCCATCCCGTAATTATGAGTAACTTGGCTTCTGGACCGATTTAAGCTGCCGCAGGTAGGACAGGTATGTATTTTACAAAACAGATACTCCGAGCTAAATATTATATATTGTAGGATACCTGTGTATCTGATTTATTTTAGATTGCAGATTAAAACAGGCTTTACTTGAAATCAAGGATGGAGAAACTATTATTATGTTATGAATTATTATCGGAATGGGGGACAGGTGCTTCAGGTTCATGGCTGGCCCTTACTCCGAGGCGGCTGTGCTTCATGCCCTAGGATAAAGCGGGCTACGAGCGAACCCTTACCCGTCATAACTGTACACATAATGGTGGAAGTGCGGGTATACTCTCCCCGTGAGGTCGGCTGGAAACGGGTCCTGGTAAAGTCATGTCTCTGCCATGGATGCCGGCTAATTATAGTCGGCCGGATGGAAGAAAACTTCCTGTGAAATTAAAACAAACCCGAGGGGACACTGGGTCATGACCAACCTGACCCTCCTGCACAAAAGCCCCTCCGTGAGCTCATCGCAGACTGCGAGGTCAAGGACATCGGAATAATTATAGGGTGCGAAGCCAATGCACATCGCTGTCAGCGTTGAAGCACTGTCACTAATGAACGGGGTGAGTACTTTCCAGCTACCTACCGACCGCTAAGATGGTAATTTTAATCCACCTTTAGTGCCAATCGTACGGAAGTCATGGACCTTACACTTGCCTCTCACCAGCTACAGAGGAACATAAGATGCTGGAGGAAATTGTATTCTCCTTCCCTCTACCGAGTTCCAGTTCAATTCCGGAATCTCAAGCGGACCAACTGTAGTCGTTGTTGAGATCACTTGAGCCGTATTCTCCCTGAATCCCCACTAATGAGGAGTTTTACAGAAGGGCACGACCCGTCTTGGTAAGATATTCACTGACGCCTGCAGGGAGGCGCTCAGTAAATCCTGCGGCGGAGTTGAAAGCCGAGCTGATCTGAGAGGTTTTTTTTTCAGGCAGAATCTGCTGGCAGGTTCATACCTTATCGGTTGAGCTGAAAGATGATCTGATAGCTATGTTTGTACACATTAAATTATTATTCGAGTTAAAGAACTATCTCAACGAAATGCAACAGCGTATAGGTATATTTTATAACTTTGCCAATCACTTGTTGGAATGGAATCGAACATCTGTTTTTATATAAAAAAAGATGTTCCATGAAAAGTCAGTCGGCCAAACTACAACTCAGAACTTAAACCAAACGCGCCCCATGGCCTACAAGACCTACAAGTCTGCAGGCACAGATGGTATCATCCCCGCCCAACTGATCCACAAAGAGCACCTAACTGGGAGTCTTCTCCTAAGCCAGGCAACACCTTGCACACTGCTCAAAATGATTCCAGACTCAGAAGTTTCTCATCCTTCCTTTCAAGACGATGGAACGGCTTTTAGGGCTGCATCTCGGAACAATCATTTCTCCGAATCTTATCACTGATTCCCAGCATGCGTATCGGAAGGAAAGATCCACCGAAACGGCCCTACATTCTTTCCCAGATATAAACGGCGCCCTCAACAACATCCTCCCATCCGCCATCACGGAAATGGGGATTGATTCCCGGACTGTGAGCCTCATCGATCGGATGCTATAATGCAGGACCGTTAAGACATCACTGGGAAAGTCAACGTCCACCAGGTTTGTCACGAGAGGCTCACCGTAGTGCGGAGTACTTTCACCCTCCTATGAAACGTAACAGTGAACGAACTGCAGCAGGATATAGAGGGGGTGGCTGCCGCATGGTAGCGCATGCGGCTGATGCCGGCATTATCTGTTAGATTTCCACGCACGCGATGTAACCCCCATAAAGATGTCGAAATGGGCAGACGAATGCGGGTTAGGTATTAACCCGTCTTAAACGGAACTGGTGCTCTTCACTAGGAAGTACAAGATTCCGAAACTGACTACCCCCAAAACTCTGTGGAAAAACGCTAGCTTTGAAGAACAATGCCAAGTATCTTGGCCTGATCGTCGACAAATAGATCGATTGGAAATGGGAATATATGATATGGTACAGAGGGCCACAGTGGCTCTCTATACCTGCAGGAAAACCATCAGACTAAAGTGAGGAATGTTCCCGTATATAGTTCGTTGGCTCTAAACCGCCACCATATGGAGTGGTGGTGGCCAGCCATAGACAAGAAAACTTGTCTTATCAAACTCAGCCAAGGTCAACGCGGTCAATATCGTTGGACTCTATGACCGTAAATGACTGGGTTTCTTAATGACACCGCAGAGCAGTTAAATCTTTTCCTAATATAGGTCTCCGAACACAGGGACATCGATATGAATGATGCTGCGCTGGAATGTTGATTTTGTTCAGAGACACTGGTGGTCAAGTTTGTCTGTTCAGGGAAAAGGTGACATGTTTAAACTATTACAGGTTTACGCGATGAGATGATAGGTGTTATGTTGCTCCTGTTGTGCACTGGAAGTGACTTGGGGTGGCAGTATCATCAAGAAATGTCAAAGTTGTTGTAAAACTGTTCTTCGGTATATCTGCTGTGTAGATCAAATACCCTGTCGGTCCAAGGATGCTAACTTGAGATACACCAGCTGCAATTGGATGATATTCAAACAGGAAATCTTTGCATTCTACTGCGAAACTTCTTTGAAGTTATTACTTATGATTTTGTGAATTAAGACATCCAACGGTCGAAAGTTTGCGTGGCATCCAGAAAGAACCCTTGGGCGACAGACATAAAGACGGCAATACTCTCGTCTTTTAAATGCATTTTATATCTCAGAGATTATGCGGTTTACGTTTTCAATGGTTCCATGTTTTCCGCGAAAGCCAAATTGGTGCATTGGGATGCACTTTTGATGTGTAGGTGTGGCTTGATATGATTCAGGAGCAGTTTTTCAAATAACTTTGATAGGCACGGCAGAAGACTAATGGGTCTATATGATGATGGCTGGGACTTGTCCTTTCCGGCTTTATAGATCATTTCTTCCATTGATGAGGATAAACACCCCACTTCATCATGCTGTTGAATATTATGGTGAGAAAATATACTGCACAGCTCGGCAACTCTATGATCATTTTAAGGGATACGAAAGCTGTTATTATTGGATTTTGCCGCCAGTGACATTACAGACACTAATGCTTCAACTGAGCTATCTATATCATCTTTACAGTAGATGTTTGGGCAGCCATCAATATGGGAACTTACGAGTATATAAACACTTCCTGTATTTAAGCCAATCTGTTTTTCTAGAAGTTAGAAAGTGAGGCCGCTTCGAGAAAAGTGAAGTAGGATTGACGAGTGATACGATGATAAATCTGTTAAGAGAAAAACCAAAAAAGTCGGGTTGCTTCTTTGGATCTGTGGTCGAACCATTTGGGAGATTTTCATTTATTGATTTTATTAGTTTCCAATTTTTTTAGAATTGCTTGTTTACATCGGTCTTGTTGTTTTCTATTCTTACGCCAACATCAGCCGCTCGCCAGAGTTCGCACACATTGCACGACGAAGAGTGTGTGAAAGAGTGAGACAGAAAATGAGTAAGCGCGTGGCAGGGCCAATGCAATCAATGCACATTGATTTATTCCTTCTGGCTATATTCATAATTCGATCGGCACTCTGGTAGATATAGCCATTCTTTATGCCACAGATTTTCGTCCTTTGTGAGGGCGGGGCTCAGAAGAGTCTGGATACAACATTTCGTTGCTCTAGCCTTTATGCTCTCTGAGAACTCGGCGTCGAAAAAGACGGACAGACAGACATCGACTCGGCTTTTGATGCTGATCAAGATATATATATGTTATTTGGTGGGAAACGCACAGAAGGAAATATTACACACATCCACTTTCACCCAAATCTAATATACCCCTATAATCTTCGAGTACCGGGTACTCATACATATGTATGTATTTCCCGAACAATTAGTCTGGTTTGCAGAAAAGCTGATTTTTGCAAGCGCTGGAAATTTTTTTAGGAGATCCTTATATTCAGACTATCTAAAGCCCTCACAAAATCCATTGACTTTTGCCAACTGATTTCCACTGGTCTCATATGGCTATATACACTACGCAATAGATATAATTTAGCTCAGATAAATATGAACATGTGTGGGACTTGTAAGGAACCCTTTTTCGACAGTCTGAATTAGCTTGAGCTTGTTCATCAGTCTGTGGGCTGTATGCAATCAATTTATAATATTACCTGGGCGACAAGCATTCGTATTTTTATTCGTTACTGTTAACTGCTATTTATACCATGGTAGTCAACTTGAATCTTCTCCAAGCGCCGCTCGCTAGTCAGTTCCGCATAGGGCTGCTCCAGACGTGCCAACGTCGGGACTACTGATAAGGGGCCATTGATCTGGGAGCTTGTCTTGATCCGTCTCACCATATCCGTATTTATATAATATTAGCCACTAGACGGTCAACTAAGTGTTGCGACGATGTGCTGCCTCCGTGATCGATTCCTCTTCATACCTTGAACCTCATCGGTTTTCTGATCCTTCCTGATCCTGTGCTTCTGCTGCTCCTCTATCTCCCTTCCACGCCCCCACAAAGGACGAAAATCTGTGACATCCACAATTTTAAGGATACGAGAAAATTAAAAACGTACAATCATAGAGAAAGGCCATATCTACAAGCTAGATTTTCTGAGTCTGCATCAGAACGGATCATTATAATAACCAAAAGCAACAAATCACTTTGCAGTGGCTACGCAGTGCACACACTCTTTGTCGTTCAATGTTAGCACCGTCTGGCGGAGGAGAGCCGTGCTGAATAAGTATCGGGTATAACTTACGGTCGCAGCAGTTCCCACAAATCTAATATACCCCTATACCAATCTTGAATATCGGTTATAACGAGGGGGAACGTTGTGAGTCGCAGCTACGGCAGATGCAGACAGTATGGCTTCTCGCCGCCAGAGACGCATGAAGTGTATGAAAGAGAGAGAGAGAGAGAGAGAGAGAGAGAGAGATGGAGACAAAAGCGCTTGGCGTTGCGTAGCCACTGCAAACTGATTGGTTCTTTCTGGCTATAATAATCCGATCTGATCCAGATTCGGCAGTCCATGGTCTAGATACGATTGTTTTCTAACGATTCTACGTTTGCAGTTTTCTCGTATCTTCAAAATTGTGGATATCACAGATTTTCATCCTTTGTGGAGGCGGAAGGGGCGGGGCGAAATTTGCAAAGCCCCTTGTGACGGATACTCTGATATCTAGACTCTCATTTGCAGCAACAGACTGTCAAATGCGTCCAACAAAATTTGAGCCAAATCGGACCAGCAGTACTTTCTATACATTTTTCTCTCTCCATTTACATATATGTCGATTTTGTTTGCTTTATCTGTCATTATGCCAGGACCAGCTTGCAGATCTTCATCCTGGTTTCACTCACTGGGTAAAAAATGTTGAATTATTTAGTTACTATAAAACGCACAGTAAACTCAAGAGCTTTACTCACTCAGTATAATCGGTTCGCACTGCACACCGAATGGTTAAGTAGAGTGCGAGTGTGAGAAGACTTTCGAGAGACGCATTGAGACTCATCTGCAATTCTGTAGAAGCATACTACTGTTTCGTACTCTTTTTCCGGGTCGTGATCCGGAATGCGGTCGTTGAGGCCACCGACGGTGGTCATATAATTTCTTGAATTGATTACCCGGAGCGCTCGTTGAACACTTAGAGCTGCGCCTCGGGCTATTCTCAATGAATTATACGATTCGTTAAATACATACATACATATAGCAGAGTGCAGCACTTTTGATGGCACGTGTAAATCGGATTCTACTGGTTGATGAAATACGGGAAAGTACATAAAAAGAAAATGAAAAATAAATTAAATAATGCCTCGTGACGCATGTGCTCCAGTTACCCATCATCTGCAATGGTGATAATGGCGATGGATGGACGGATGGCATGTTAAGCAGGCAAAGACCTCCCGTGCTGTCGTACCGAGAAAAAAATTATAAATATAAACAAATTTTGAAAATTGAACTTCTAAGAGCTATGTATTTACATACATACTCATTTCTTACGCACATGAAAATTAGCATATTTAGATGTATTTACATTTGTACGTACAATAGGTACTCACACGCATACACAGGCAAAACGTTAGACGGACACAATCGCAAACATGGATTGGGATGTTTTGCTTTTTTTTATTTTTGTTTTTTGCACATTGCGCAAAAAAGCAAGAACGACTGTTTTTGTGACCAAGCGATAAGAAGATCATCGTAATATGCGCTTCAGAACCGTAAGGGCGCTGTTCGCGAGTAGTGGCAAGAGAACAAGTGATGTGTCCAGCACAAATGGATTAAAACAATGGGTTCTAAACCTCGATTAAAGACTTATTTCGATAGGCATCCATATCCTAAAAATAAATAATTTGATTCATTAAAAACACACTGTACACACACGAACATTAGCACCCTCAAATACAAATTGGAAATGTGGGAAGAGTGTGATTTTACACACAGACACACTCTCACGCAGCACGAACACAGCTGTTCGTGCTGTTTAATTTAAAAACGAAGAAAGATATTTGCGCGGAACTCAGTTGTGCGCTAAACTTTGCAATCGTCGGGCCAGACCAGTTTCACCAGGCTGATCGAGAGAAATGGAATCGTCAGCGCTTACATCTGTTGTCATGCTGGTGCTGCTCGCCATCCTCGCTGGAGGGGAGGCGGCACTACCGTATCGCTGTAAGAGAATATGCCACGCCTCATTTACCGAACTCACCCAACAATTTGCTTCCTTAGCAGCTTCATCGTATCGCTATAGTCAGCAGTTCTGCATGGACACACAGACCGGGCGCCAGCTGTATGTTGGTGAGGTTTTCACACGCCTGGAACAATGCATGAGGGTTCAGTGCCTGGGCACTCTGCAGCTCTGGGAAGACAGGTGAGCATTAAATGCTTTGATATATACTCTAAAATATGTAAACTTTTTTCCCGATTTAGTTGTCTAGTGCCCAGCACCATCAAGGGCGACTGCAGGTCCATTCCGCCAACAGAGTCTAATCTTGAATACCCCAGGTGCTGTCCGCTGTATGAATGCAAGACATACGAGTCGAGCGCGGAAGGAACACTGGAGCAAACAAACACTTACGACCACAATGGCTCGCTGCGCAAGTCACACCTTACCGAAGTGATAGTCATCAACAAAAAGCCGCGATTAGATCCGGAGGACTCTGCCATGGGAGCCATACGCAGAAACTATGTGTAAACTCGGCACCCAAACTTTTTTGCTTGTAATTGATATTGTGATTGTGTGGAATTAGGCCTTACTTAGTTGTAGTTTCAGCTGTTGCGTTGTAATTTGATGAAGGAAAACAATAAATAGAAGGAAACATGTATTGTATACACGTGTAGGTTCCCTGGCGCAAAAGTAATGTTGCGTCGCTCATGAGCGAATGGACAAAAAGAAATATCACTTAAGTGAACTAACTGAACTATTACCTTAACCTTATGACACTGAACTAGCTCACTTATCTTAAAGACAGAGATACCCTTACAGGAAAATCAAGCAGTGAGAGCGAAAGTTATTTATTCATTAGTTTGAATTTTAAGTCGATTGTTATTGCTAATCTAACCGGCTACGAGTGTTGAAATGCGCATAGTACCACAGTTCTTCGACTTTTAGTTGGGAGACAAATCTGAAGATGATAGCGTATTGTCTCGGCCTATGTCTGTCTTTCAAATAAGAGAGCTATACCCCATTTACACTAGGGCTGCGTTATTCTTGCGTTCCAGGTGCGTTTCCTCAATTTTCCGAATATTTCTACGCTTTTCTGCCTATCGTGTTCATAATCCCCACTAACAACAATAAAAAACAGCTTTTTTCCTTTTTCACTAATTTTTGTGATCGGTCTATGCCAGTATAACAGCAAATAACGTTAATTGTACGCTGTTGTTTGAACGTAAATTTAGCGATTTATGGAATCACTTTGACACTCTAGGCGATCGATGGTCTAGCGATAAGAACAGAATAAATGATATCTCGTCCAATTTTATGTAATAGCCTCTTTACACAAGGGCTACGTCATTTTTTTCGTTTTAAAAACTCAGTTTTATTTAATACAATAATCACAGGGACATAGTGGTAAAAAAAGTTACGTTCTTTTCAAATGCAGGTGCGTCTGAATATTCGACTATTTTTGCGCTTTACAGCACATTTCTGCTCTTAGAGCAACTGTCACCACTAATAACTACAAAAATATATCAGATCAGATATAACATTTTGGCGCGTTAATATAGGAAGTTGACAAAAAATATATACGTATTCTTAAATAGTTATTGTGTGATTTTCAAAATTATAACTTATAATGACTACGGTCCTTTAAAATGTCATTAACATGTAACACTAAAAACAAATAGTTTACGGTTATGCTGCTCGTGCCCAGAATATACCAGATTGGCTTTTCCAGTTTGTATCGATAGCCTTTCCAGTATTAATCGGCTTTTTATTTTGCTGATCTGAGTACCCGTTTTCAATATGCCTGCTGCAAAAATTTCAATCGAACAAAATACAGGCATGCATTCAATTAGAGCTGCTCTTTAAAACGTATTTTCTTCGTGGTGGTCGCAAGCGGTCACATTTCATTAGCAATAAAATATTGGGGGAGCTACAGCCGAAGCCATTAACCTTGTTCACTTTAAATAAATTTTCTACAGCTGACTGAGCAGTGTAACCGTAGAGCATGCTCACCTGGTCACACTCTACTGCTAACTAAATATGACACCATGATGAAATTATACATATAATACATGTAAATTATACATGTATAATTTCATCATTCATTCTTATTTTGCTCGCGTACACTTTTTTCGGATCTGAGTACTAGGATTTAAAAACAACTAATTGATACAATATAAACAAATAGAATCGATAGAATATTATCGGTGTTAAAGCATATTTTAATATAAAAAATTATAAAAAATATACAAATTTCGAGAAAAAACTATAATATCGCAGAATATATCGAAACATATTCCGATGTTTTGAACGATTTTTTCGGTAGAAACGAATGCAGAACAATAAAAACAATACAAAAGTGCAGTGAGGTTAATCTATTCAAGGATAGGACACGAAACAATACAACACAAAACTCTGCACCAGACAACGAGAACTATACACTAAGACAACAAAAAAAGTTATTGCACAGTCAAGGCACGCGAATTTCATCACAATAGCATAATGTTACTGCGACTTGCTTTGTCGGCAGCCCGTCCGGGTAGCAGCCTTCTTGGTCAGCAATCCTCGCAGAGCTTTCTGAAATCAAAACTTCAGGTGGCTGTTGTGCGTAACTATGCTCGTGGCCCGGTACGCACACGCGCTCCTGTGGTGGAGCAGCAGGTACGCCATCCATCTCTCAAAGAGAAACTGATGGGTCCACCAAGTGCTAACGGTAGGTAACTATAATATGTATGTGCAGTTATTGTGTAACCAGTTTAATTTCACGAACTTCTAGCGTATTCGATGGGCAAAGGTGCTGCTGCTGGCGCCGCAGTTGTCGGGTTGGGAGCGCTCTGCTACTATGGTGTGGGCCTGGGCAAGCACACGAGCATTGCCGATAATGCCATGTGAGTTTCGTTGGTTTGCAGATGTTATGCATTCTACATAATAGAATTTAAATAAGAATAAGTATTTTTTTCCATATAGAATGTGGCCGGAATATGTAAAGAGTCGCATCCAGAGCACCTACGCCTTCTTCGGTGGATCCTGCATCCTGACAGCAGCCTCTGCAGCTGCCGTCTTTCGTTCTCCCCGCCTATTATCGTTGGCCTCGCGAGGCGGGATCATGGTAAGTACATACCAGCGCCCCTGCCCTCAACACAAATCCAAGCAAACATAAAACTTTCACTTCATTCGAACAGTGGTCTATTGCTTCGCTGGCGCTCGTCATTGGCAGTGGGGCAGTAGCGCGTTCAATTGAGTACCATCCAGGAATTGGACCGAAGCACCTCGCATGGGCGGTCCACTGCGCCATCTTAGGTGCTGTCATCGCACCTCTTTGTTTCATTGGTGGTCCGGTTCTGACTCGTGCTGCTCTTTATACCGGAGGCATTGTTGGTGGCCTGTCCACAATCGCTGCATGTGCGCCAAGCGATAAGTTCCTGTACATGGGTGGCCCGTTGGCCATTGGTTTGGGTTTTGTCTTTGCCTCCTCGTTGGCTTCTATGTGGCTGCCGCCAACAACAGCCCTAGGTGCTGGTAAGTAGTAAACAATGCCTGTGATATGCAATCTTATGAATCCACCCTCAAAATAATAATCTTCATCTAGGTCTGGCATCCATATCCCTCTATGGTGGTCTGGTGCTTTTCAGTGGCTTCCTGCTTTACGACACGCAGAGAATGGTCCGCAAGGCTGAGGTCCATCCCCAATACTCCTATACCCCCTTCGACCCTATCAATGCGTGAGTCAATCTTGTGTGACACCGTGTTTCATAAGTAACCCCAAATTATATTTTTTATGCTCCAGCTCGATGTCTATTTACCTAGATGTTTTGAATATATTCATCCGTATTGCCACTATCTTGAGCGGAGGGCAGCGCAGAAAATGAGTCCGCTAGGGTACATGTTTTGAAGATAGATCGATAATATATTTATACCACTATTGAATAAATTTATATGCCCTAAATATGATCTATCTCTTTCAAAAACGCCTTTTTAGGCTGCGAGAAGCACACTATCTATCTAAATGTGTATGCCACTGTATGTATCCCTATAATATACTATTTTTTCGATGTTGACAAAATCATATTGAGCTACATATGTATTTAAAACCTACACATAAACATGAATGGGAACGTTTGGTCTTATTTGCCCTAAGATGTTTCTCCAAGAGACAGGAGGTTATGATGTAGTGCAGAGAATGGCAACAAGCCATCGCAATTAAAAGCTCACCAGATAGCTATCGAGTGTTTTTCTAGCACCACAACTACCGTGCGAGTACATGCTTTACAATAAATCGGTGAGGTGAGGTTTTTTGGTACCACCTTGTGACGATCGGTGCGCGAAATTAAAACAATTTGTTTATTTTTATGTATGACTAACTTTATATTAAACCTTGTATCTTTGTATACATTTACATTAAGACATGCTGATGCTGATAATATACATATAACAAAAGAACCAAAATAGTTAGTCGTCTACAGTTTTCGGTCCTTATGTATTCCGTTCTCTGTTAAAAAATTGTCTAGTAAATCTGCTGTTGATGGAATGGCTATGGATATGCATATGGAAAGCAGACGATCCGCGCATAAACACCCCGAATGACCGCTGTGACTTCGCGATCGCTCTCACTTTTTGTCGCACTTTTCATGAGTGATGGAAAAAACATAGAGTGAAAGAGAAGAACCACAACTGCTAGTTTTAATGTTAATTCTTGCACTTAATTTATCCTCTCTCACCGATTTGATTAGAATTTTTTTGTTTGCATACCGCTTCTTCCATTTGGTCTGGCTCTCTCTTCTCACACCAACACCAGCCGTTATGTCTTCCAGGCAGGGGCATACACTAGAAGAAAAAGAGTGCGTGAGTGAGAGAAAGAGAGAGAGATTGTAGTTCGTGCAGCCAAGCGAAATGGTTTTCTTCATTCTGGCTGTAATAATTATCCAAAGAGATCCAGACTCGGCAATCTGGTGGATATCTCTATGTATTCGGTTATCTCCTATCTTCAAAATTTGATTATGCCACAGATTTTCGGTCTTTATAATGTCGGGGCAAAATTTTGAATATACAGAATACAGAAAACACTTCGTTCTGGCTGTTAAATGCGTCTAACCTTATATGTACTCTTTGTGTTCCGGGTTTTAATAATACCTATATATATTGGGACAAATGGTCATGATTTTAGTTTGTGTTTTGTATCAATTTTGTTTGTTAATTGAAATTCAAAGTAACCACTCTGTATACATATGTCTTGTGCTATAATATTTTAATAGCTGATGATTAAGTATTCTAAAAAAAATTTTGCATCAAGAAGTAAAATTCGCAAAAAAGGGTGCTTTTGATTTCGCAAAATGAAACAAAAGGAATCTTAATTGCAAAAGGAAAAACTAGATAACTTATTAATAAATTTACATACATATAATAAACGGTTTTTTAACCAAAATTTCAAATTTTGCTTTTGAAAAAGTCGACAAATTAACAACACTGCGTTTTCGTGCAGCCAGCTAACGCAGCCCGATTCGGTTATCGATACATCGGAATAAAATCCGAGGATACACTGCAATAAACTAAATTTTGCGCTTAACAGTACTAACTTGTGCGTTAAACAGGACATGAGAAAATGAGAGACAAATTTGAGAAACGGGAGAACCTAAAAACTTGCAGAAAAAATTCAAACAAAAATTATCGCCAATCGCAGCAAATGGTGTGACATAAGCTTATCGCTGTGTCTGTTATTTCAGACTATATTGGCCTTGAAGTGTAGTGGAATACAACCATTAGAGAGCTCAGGTGGCAATAAGCTCACGAATACATCGATAAACGGAAACATATCTAGCAAACGATAGTCACAGTCTCAACTCGCCCCTTTAGCAAACTTTACCAGGGCGAGAGATGCCAGGATTTCCAAATTGTGTGTAAATGTTTCAAATTGAGCTGGCTAGCACTTGACAAAGCTTGCTCTATAATTCCAAATTTTTACCTACTGTGAAATTATTGTCATTGCGTACAAATCTACACATCAGTGGATTGAAATATTTTTCCAAAGCTCAACCCCATAACAATATTTCTTGGCAATATAAGGCAATAAAGAATCAACAAAATTGAGCAATTTAAACACTTCGCAGACTAGCCAGACGATACGCATTACAGGTAAAACTACCGTTCGTACCTGAAACAGGTGAGTGGGGGAGAGACAGACGCCCGACCGCGCCCTAAGCCGGCAGATCGATTGGCGACTTTCCTTATGTTTTCTTTGCATTGACAGGCACAATTAAAAATATTGCAAAGCAGGACGTTGAACAGAAAAGTCAATTGACCCTCAGCCGAACGAAGAAAGTGGTTACAATACGGCCATGGAGCGCCGATATTTAAAGAATCCGTTCCAAGATTTCATTGGCGGCGAGAACACAGCATTCGCCAGTGATGAGGAACACATAAAAAATCTCATCTGTACCTACGTGGATACCATTTTGGAACATTGCCACCCCAACAGTGACGACGAGGACGACCGCGGAGACTTGTATGTGGGCAATGCCGGCATCGCCTTCATGTTCTGGAAGTTGGCCAGCTGCGAGCAGACGCGAGATCTCTACCCCCCAGCGCTGCAGCATGCATCCGCCTTCATTCGAAACGCCAAGGCGAATGCCGAGCGCTTCAAGAAACGGTCTGCCGAGCGCTACTCCTTTCTCTGTGGCAATGCTGGAATCTATGCCGTCTCCGCAGCTATATCACAGGCAGTCAAGGACACCGAGGAGCTGTCCAACGACTTGGCGAACTTTAAGTCGGGCATTCCTTCCAGCAAGGAGTTCATTCACACCAAAAACGGCTGCGATGAGGTGTTGGTGGGACGAGCCGGCTATCTCTCCGGCTGCTATTGGCTGAACGACGTTCTGCCCGATAAGAAGATTACCGACGACGACTTAATCTCCATTTGCCAGCTGATTGTGACAAGCGGTCGCGAGTACAGCAAGATGAACAATTCCCCCTTGCCGCTGATGTTTCAATACCATGGAACAGAGTACTTGGGAGCTGCCCACGGACTGTGTGCTATTCTGCATATGCTGCTAGACAGTCCCTGGTTTCGCACAGTGCCAATCTCGGCTCCGGCAGCCGAGTTGCGTGAAATCAAGCGCTCCATTGACTACTTTCTCGTGCTGCAGGACGCCGAAGGCAACTTTCCGGTGGCCCTAGAAGACTTGCGGTCGGGAAGGGACAAGCGCCTAGTGCACTGGTGCCACGGCGCTCCGGGAGCTGTTTATATGTTAGCCAAGGCCTACTTGATATTTAAGGAGGAGAAGTACTTGACGTCCTTGCGCCGCTCGGCCGATTTGGTCTGGAAAAAGGGATTCCTTCGCAAAGGTCCGGGCATCTGTCACGGAGTTGCTGGCAACGGCTATGTGTTTCTGCTTCTATTCCGGCTGACCAACGAAATGAAGTACCTGTACAGGGCGCACAAGTTTATGGAGCTTCTGACCAACTCTGAGTTCAAACAAAGGGCTCGCATCCCAGATAACCCACACAGCCTGTATGAGGGGGTGGCCGGCACCGTCTGCTTCTTGGTAGATATACTAGAACCGGAGCAGGCCTACTTTCCCTTCATGGATGTCTTTCACTAAGCTCCCAATATCCGAATACCTCAAGGCCAAGGACCCAGGTCCGCCTATGCTCAACAAAGGCTTCCAACTCGGGAAGTTTATCATTATTTCTAGTCATTTTGCCTACTTTTATATTTTAGTTCTCGTTGCAAAACGCAAATGTAATTGCGTTAACCAAATCGGGGTGGACTGCCGTTTAGGGGGCTTTCGATCCACCAGTGAGCGCAGCAAATGCAGGAATGTTCTCAGTCATTCGCATATCAAAATTATTTTCGCTTTAAGCCAAACAATTAACATAATGCATACAACTTATACACACAGATATTACATAAATATACATTATATTTATATACATATTATATACATATACTTGCGATGACATCTATATATATACACAGACACACGCATACGATTACTTACATGCATAATAGGCTTTATACCAACGAGTAACTCCCAAAGAGCTCCAAGTCTTTTGTCAATGAAAATCAAATAAATAATTGTGCTATTTTATACAGATATTACAATCCTAAATAACTAGTATCTGGGTTGACTTTGATTCGAAGCGAGAAATATTCATTTGATAGGGTCAATAGGTTCAATAGCTTTATTGACAAGAGTAATTTCGTCTGTCGGCAGATGCAGTATCGTCCAGAGCACTATGTATGTATATGTATATATAACAACACCTTATAACCTCGGCCTCCACACCACATTTTGTTTACATTTTCAGCTAAAGTAAAGCAAAAATATCAGCCCCACAACAAAAAACCGGTCGAAATACTACATAAACATATAGAAACAAGAAAGAATTTTCGCTGGCAGCGGGGCCTAAAAGCGAGGTAGAATCGTCTCAGCCGAATGTGGCGCGATGGTGTTGGTGTCTCTGAGAGACAGCAATAGGAGGATGCACCCCCCAAAATGTAATCCTCAAGGAAGTAAAGGAAGTGAGGAGTAAAAGGGAATTATAATTGGATTTTGCTGAGGTGAGCAGTGGACCAGTTGATTATTTATCAAGGCGAGTTTATAAAGTATGCTAAGAAGTTTAGGTGTTTTTTTATTAATTACAGTCGCTTAAGGTGTGCAATCTTCGGAAAAAAACGTTTCATTATTGTAGCACTAGCTTCAAGTACAGTTTTAGATTTTTAAATCTAGTTTTAGTCGTGTATTTTAGATGCGTCTCGCAGAACAGATTGCATAGCGGTCTCGGATGTAGCAATATTGGTTCGGTTTTGTTAGTTTTTGCCATAACTTGATCCCTTCTTTATGAAATCACTCAGAACACACCTAATGTTACCAATTTTCTCATTTATTTTCATTATTGATGGACCTACTTCCAGCGATGCATTTTTTTTAGATTTTTCGTCCTTTGAAAAACACCATAACTTTCTCTCTCTAACACTCTAATTGATTTTTGAGAGTTTTTTCGATGTCCGGTCGCGGCCACAACCCAAATAAAAAATTTTTCAATGTGAGTATCGTATTCAAGTGTCGCCTTTTTTAAGAACGGTAATTTGAGTTATTTCAATTAAATTGTTTTCCTTAATCTAGTTTAATGAATATTTCTATTCTTTTTTTTAATTTATGCTAAATTGAATAGAGATATGAGGAAAATTCAAATTCACCGTTTTCTTTGGCTTGTGCCGGAAATATTAGTACCTGAAGTGTACATTTTTAGTGTCTCTTATTCAATTGTCGGGGAGTATACTTACAAGTTCTTTTTATGCAGCTTCTTTGCTTTCGTTTGTTACTTCTTTTCTAGCTAAATGGTTATATATTTCGTTAGCGGCAAGTTCGCCAAGGATACGCTTTGTCTAACGAATCCTGTTTCTGAACTCTGGCTAACAGCCACAGCATCCGCGATGGCCAGCGTTCGAGTCCGATTCCGACCAACCACAGGAGCAGAACATTTTCGAAGGTTGTTTTTGAAGTCCACAACGTCCTGCTTTGTGACCCTGTTCAGTGTTTGTCTTTTCTTTTTCTTCCAATTAAAGAAGTATTCAGTAGTTGCGATCTCATTTTAATTCCGGATTACTTTTCGCTCCAGCATAGTGTCGACTAGCCCCTCGCAGCTGATCAGCGTTTGGCGTGCATCATTGAACTCTGTTTCGCTGAGCTGTGACACAAGGCCTGGTATGCGAGACTTAAATGTCTCCATACGTTGGTCAACATGATCAGCCGAATGCTTATTCTCTTCAGTGTCTACTGTAATAGCACAGGCCATCACGTTGTAGCCGCCGCATTTTTGTAGGCTCAGCCTGTAGCCCAACTCTTGAGTGCGCAGCTGGTTGAAGAAGGGTTCTTTCACATTCTGCTCTACCAGATCTACTCCAGTTTACGATCACTTGGTCCCATTTGATAGTAGTTTCTTACAATCGTATTCGTATCTTTGTGGTTTAAGGCTTTCGCCCTTTCCAAGTGGTATCTGCACTAAGCTATTTTCCAGTGAGGATGGATTATTTAGTTTTTGGCTATTGAAAGTGGAAAGGACTAGTTACATTGCCTGAAGCGCTTGTTCTTGAGTAAAGTTTTCCTGTACGAGTCCTTGGATGCACATTTGACGCTTTTTGAGGTCTTTAGAGGAAGGAGGCGCTGGATCCAGCTCTGGAGTGCACATCGTGATTATTGATTATTGATTAATGATTATTTTCACCAGTTTTTAATGCATGCTAATGAATGAAGCCATTAGTAGGGTAGTTGACATTGCTTCCAGTGCAATTGGCAGCACTTAGTGGAAGGGCGGCGGAAAGGAGTACTGCCTTATGGTTACCCTAGACACTAGGTGGACATTCAACACAGCTAGAAGGAGCTGCAGCCTAAGGACTTTGATGGTTTCAACACACCCAGGTACCTACAGCAGACGGGACAAAGCTACTTCAAGAGGAGGCTGCTTTTTTACGCCACAGGATGCAGGAGGGAACGGAGCAATACGAGGTATCTGGAGGAGTCCCGCAGGGGCAGTGCTGTGCTCCCTACTGTGGAACGCAATGTACGGCTCAGACTCCTCCACGGAGGTGGTGTACTTTGCGGACGGTGTAGCAGTTCTAGTGGTAGCAAACGACTTGTCCGTCTTGCCCGCATTCATCAGTGGCTGGAGCTGGTTGGGCTCCATTGGGCTGGACCAATGCCCTCCAAACATCGAGCTACGCCCAGGGTATGGCAGCCACTCACTTGGCACTGGGCATAATCTGTGCCTTCCAGACCGTCTTGGACGAGGCAGCCCACGTGATCGCAACAGAGACTCAGGAAGTGGCAATACCGCTGGGATACGGCCACTAAAGGACGATGGACCCACCGACCCATCCCAACCATCGAGTGGCATCGGTGAGCACGTTTTTTTATTTGTTTATTTTTTTTTTTTTATTAGAAATCATTTTTACTTAAACTATGATCAAATATTAGTGTTATTTACACTGACTTACTACATATTTTAAGAGTTTAATTATTAGGTTTATATATACATTTTAATGATGTGTTATTCAGCAATTTTTTCTATTTATACCCGATACTCAAAATGAGTATTGGGGTATATTAGATTTGTGGTAAAAGTGGATGTGTGTAACGTCCAGAAGGAATCGTTTCCGACCCTATAAAGTATATATATTCTTGATCAGCATCAATAGCCGAGTCGATTGAGCCCTGTCTGTCTGTCCGTCCGTCCGTCTGTCCGTCTGTCCGTCTGTCCGTCCCCTTCAGCGCCTAATGCTCAAAGACTATAAGAGCTAGAGCAACGATGTTTTGGATCCAGACTTCTGTGATATGTCACTGCTCCAAAAATATTTCAAAACTTTGCCCCGCCCACTTCCGCCCCCACAAAGGGCGAAAATCTGTGGCATCCACAATTTTAAAGATACGAGAAAACCAAAAACGCAGAATCGTAGAGAATGACCATATCTTTTAGACTGCGGAATCTGAATTGGATCGTATTATTATTATAGCCAGCATCAAGAAAACAATTTCATTTTTTCTCGCCCTGTCTCTCTCTAACACACACGTAGCATAGGCGGCTTTGCTTAGAGTAAAACATTAGCGCCTAGATCTCAGAGACTATAAAAGCTAGTGCAACCAAATTTGGTATCCACACTCCTAATATATCGGACCGAGACGAGTTTGTTTCAAAATTTCGCCACACCCCCTTCCGCCCCCGCAAAGGATGCAAATCTGGGGATATTCACAAATCTCAGAGACTATTAAAGCTAGAGTAACCAAATTTAGTATCCGCACTCCTGTTAGATCTCACTATAAAACGTATATCTCAAAATTTCGCCACACCCCCTTCCGCCCCCGCAAAGGATGCAAATCTGGGGATATTCACAAATCTCAGAGACTATTAAAGCTAGAGTAACCAAATTTAGTATCCGCACTCCTGTTAGATCTCACTATAAAACGTATATCTCAAAATTTCGCCACACCCCCTTCCGCCCCCACAAAGGACGAAAATCTGTTGCATCAACAATATTGCACATTCGAGAAAACTAAAAACGCAGAATCATAGATAACGACCATATCTATCAGATTGCTGAATCTGAATCAGATCAGATCATTTTTATAGCCAAAGGAACAAATCAATTTGCAGTGGCTACGCAGCGCCCGACGTCACGCTCAGACTGATTTTCTGTCTCGCTCGCACGCACTCTTTGTCGTGTCGTTTAATATTAGCGGCGTCTGCCGGAGGAGAGCCATACTGACTTAGTATCGGGTATAACCGTAGAGTTGCGGTGTCCGCAGCAACTCACAACGTTCCCCCTCGTTTTTATGTTCGATGGGTGGGAGACGTTTGAGTCGTGGAATTTACGGGTGCAGTAATCCTCTAGCTGGTTAATTTGGATGGTTAATGGGCCTATCGTTGTATCGGCTGCTGTGATGGTTAATTTGATCTCCAATTTTGGGATGAGGAGATCTCTTTCCAGCATTGTGGTCCGAACAAACCACGGGACACCTGGCATGACTCTGATTTTATTCAGATGCGTCTTCGCTGCACATCCCCAGACTTGAATGGCGTATGTCCATATGGGGATTATCGTTGCCTTGTACAATAAGACTTTATTGCGTAGGGGAAGCTTACTTTTTGAGTTCATGAGCCAGTGCAACTTATTGAGTTTATTTTGACATTTGATGACTGTAGCTTTGATATGTGGTCCCCAAGTCAGGCTTTTATCGAGGTGGACACCGAGGTAGCAGTGACTGCTCTTGCGCGGAATTATATTTCCGTTGAAGGTTAGGTCTGGTGGGTGCTTGCTTCTTAAAGTAAAATTTATGTTAACTGACTTTGTTTCGTTAATTGTGATGTTCCATTTTTTTGCCCATTTTTCCACGGATTCGAG